GTGAACCCCACAAAAATTTGTACACCATCTCAGAATCCCCCGCAATCGCTGTCCCTGTAATTGGGAACACAGCTGCAACATGCCAAACCTTACTATACAATAAAATGTTCACGACTATCAACTCGCTGTATCAGAGATTTAGGTGGCTGGGGTCTCAGAACACCTTGACGCCCATGATCCTTTCAAATAACCTATCCGAGTTTTCCTCCCGCGCGCAACATGTCATCCTTATAAATAATACCACAAATCTTAAAGACACCGCCCATTCTTGACAACCTAACATCTCCCCCCACACCCCCCACCCAAGAACCACAACCCCCGAGCAACCTTGACTTCGCACTAATAACCTCAGACCCGTGGCACTTCCAATAATTGAGCACAACACGTCCAACACTCCTATATACATCCCTTCACGAAATGAGAACAGTGGGTGTCGTCAACATAATCTAATTAAAACCCGGCCAGGCCTCACCAGCCCCCACACTTTCCCTCACATGGCGTACATAAGCTACGGTCACCATTCTATAAAAGGGTCCTGGAACACGCAAAAATTTTGGGACATGGGGCATCCCTCACTAAAGGCCACTACCCATTTGCAATTTCCCTCCCCATACACCCATTAATCTGTTATCCCTCATTTTCGCCCCCTCGTACAACGTATTTACCCACTCGACTATTTCCTCCCCAAAACCCTGTCCTCCTAAGATATAACCTGCAAAGCTTTCCCCTTATTGTCCCTATCTGCTCTTTCTTCATTGCAATTCCATGGGTTCCCTTTTCATTTTTTCTTTTTGCTTGTTGTTATTTTCCCTGTCTTTCTTCTGATGATCCCATGGTTTTCGTTATTCTTAATTGTTGCTTTCCACTCTATCATATGCTCCCTGCCAATCTAGAGCCAACAAAGCCGCCCCTCCACCCCACCCTTAGCTTCCACAAAACTTCTCATGATCCCATGAACACCTTCAATCATCGACTTCCAGGCAACCCAAACATAATTTTGACACACCACCCTCCCCACAACCCATTTGAACCTATTACCTAAAATTTTTGCAACACCTTAAAGTCCGCACACACATGATATGGTCTACGTTACTCCCAAGTGTGGGCTGCCCCTAGACCTTCGGACCACACTACAACTGCTGTTACTGCTTCTTTCAATCATCACCCCCCACTTACCCTTCTCCAACAACGATTAAATAACCTAACTAAAAATTCTTATATATCAACGTCCAATTTTAGTACATAAAATTCTACCATGCGACCGTCAATATCCGGGCTTCCCCTTCCTCATTCCCCTTCACACAATTCTCAATTAACCTCTGCGTAATAGTCCCACTAAAGCCAAGTCTAACCCTATTTCCAAAAAAACACGACACATACGTACATAGCCTTGTCCACCGCCACGACACCCACCCCCCCACAGCTCCAGTACTTTCTCGCACCAAGCCTCCGCATACGCACACACCCCTTCGTGTTTCGATCTCCTGCCCTGCTCTAAATTTCCCAACCATCTCCATTACCACTAAACATGGATAGCTGTCACCGCCTTCCTGTTGCATTTGATGCCGCAAACACACGCTGACGGTTGTCGCCCAAAGACTTCCTCCCCCCCTGCCATGCACTCCTTACAGCATGAAACCTTTCATTTTGCAACACCCTGAAAACCTCCACTATATTTCAGCTATTTCACCAAAGGAAAATTATTTTCCACCCACCCCCTGCCATAGAAACCTCTTAACCTATTCCTCTAAATAGTTTAGCCATTCCATATTTTAAATTATTATACGTTTCCCCTCTCTCCCAAAAAACTTTCAAATCCTTTCCTTTGCGACCTAACCCACAAGTCACAATATCAATCCACTCCTGTTCTTCCACACAAGCACCCTCCATAGGACTGAAAACCCCTCCAACCCTCCTCCATCACCTAACACACTTAAATTTAATTTCCAATAACTTCTATATATGTCCGCGAGCGTCCCCCACCCCACCTCCACCACCACTGGCCCTATGATCTGACCATTGTAGCCACCACAGTAGCTGAAAGATTTCACATCCACTTCCTGAGAAAGGTACACTCTATCTAGTCTCGCAGTATATCCACTCCTAACAAACGTATATCAAGTCTCCCACACCTGCCCCCCCAAAGGCAACATGTAACCAAACATCCCTTAATAAAATCCTCAAGAGCCACAGACATATATCCAGCCCCTTTTGGTCCTACATCAGCCACCCTGTATCCACTAATCCAGTCCCCACCAACTATCCGCCACCTCTGGCAGTTCATTAGGAAAAAACACAGATAAACCTCACACACAAAATCATTCTTTACCTTTAGTAATTTCCTGCCGGCGCTACACACTCACAAAAAGACACACCGCTTACCCCATCCACCACCCATCCACCCGCAACACCCTCCCTCCCCTCCTCCACGCTTCTCTGCAAAACAACGGGCTCGTCTCCCTTATTAAAATTCCAACACCACCTTTTAGACGGGGAGATGGCAGGGTAACTTACTCGAAAGCCAGCCACCATCCAACACCCTACCCTCTTTAAAATGTGCTCTGCAGGAACACAACATCCACTTCTAGCTTTATTTAGAAAATTACGAAACCATCTCTCTTCATACCGCTACATAACCATAAACATTTACAGACATACACCTAAGGCCTATTAAAGTTTCCACCCCTGCTTCCTCTCATCATTTCTTTACAACTCCAGAGCTTGAATTTATGTTTGCACCTTCAGAGTGCTCTCTTTCCCTCCCCCCTTCTCCGGTGCCTTCTCTATCATGGCTACCACCCCATCCTACACCACTACCTTCACACTTCACCTCACTCTGTTTCCCAGGCATTTGTGCAGCGTAATACGTCATCAGAATCTCTTTCTCGTGACGTCCATGTTACACATGTCTTGGTCAGATGTTGCCGTCTCGATGAACCTCCACCACCACCTGAGAAATGGTTTAATGATTCAATGGACGACTCCCAAACCACCATCACGTCCAAATTATCATGTCTCAGACTTTCTGGAGCGACGATTCTCCATGACCACCAAGGCCTCAGAGTACGACCCTCTCTGGCGGGACAAATTCTTCACACCTCACCAATTCATCTTCAGAATCTCAGAACCTTCTCCTGTAATTTGCTGCTCCTCCTTATCCACAGGAGACGACACCTGATTCAGTGCAGTCTTGGGGCGGACTCCAACTACCGCCAGTCCTGTGTGCCCGATCCACTATCCGCACCACAAAACACCCAAGCCCTCCATCCGATGTTTTTTCCTCACTTTTCTGCCTCCTTTGAAGCAGGGGCTGCGATCGTCCACCACAGGTCCAGGCACATGTCTTCACTTGTCACAGGTCGCCGCTATGTGATCATACTCACCACATAGGCGGCATGTACGTCGTTGTCCTGGGTACATTACCATTACCTGCGTCCTGAAATCTTGTAGATACACATAGGACGGTATTGGGTGCCTCAAAGTCATTTTGAGGTTAAAAGAACCCTCTGGAAAACCAGCATAGGCTCCTGCCGCCCAGGTACCATGTTGAGCATAATGCACCCTCCCATACTTCTCAAAAACTTTCCTTATATCCGCCTCGTCCGCCTCAAAGGGAACGTTGCGTAACTTGATCCACGTATAATGCCGTGAAACATCTATCATTCTTACTCTGACAACTGGTGTGACGTTAAGACTCACGTCCTGAAACCTGGTGACTAACGATTCATAAACCGTTGCTGACAGCAGTTTGACGAAAATTCGTTGTCCTCCGTTCAATGCTACACCATACAAGTCACTATCTTGTACGCCATATGTCTCCCGGATGATCTTTGGCAATAAGACTTGCGCAGAACTGGGCGTTATCGTTCCTTTAATTAAGTAGCTCAACGCCTACAGTATTTATCCGGCGTCTCAGACTAACCGCCATCTTGACAATCACAGTGCACCTATGTTGTTAGCCGAGGTGTGACAGCACCACTTCACACCACTGCAGCCAGGTAATTGACAAGGGAGCTCGCCTACAACAGCAGAGGGGTGCAGAGCACAACCGCACTCTACCGTGGTTTGGCAGCGAATGTCATTATTCTTAATTATTTCATCAACAAGTCTACTATACTCATTGCCAGGTATACTCCACGATACCCTGTAATTCTTACACTCTCTTTTGTCCCTTTCTTTTTACACAAAGGAATAATGCATGCTCTATTGACAAGCTCTAATTAGGTACCTTCCCCTCGCTCGTACATTTATCATATAAAAACACTAACCATTCCAAATCTATATCCCCACCTGCTTTAACTTTTCTATCTTGATCCCATCAATCATAGCTGTTTTATCGCCTGCTTGACGACCGAGCTCCCGCTGTCACTGTTGTGCATATGCATGTACACGCCGTGCCGAACAGGTAAAACTTGCGGTTTTGGCTTAAATAGCAACACTCTTTTTGCCGAATAAGGCAAGCGAAAATTTGTGTATGCAATAATTTCGCAAAAATCATTCTGAACCTAATAAAAATATATATATTTCATTGTTATTTTAAATTTATCTAAAATATATTTAGTGGGGTTAGACTAAATTAAATTGCGCTTGTTATAAAAAGGTTAAGTAAATTTTCTAAGGTTCTTTTGGTACAAAATCAATATTTTTTACATTAACATATATGAAAAATATAGATCCTTAAATGTATAAGAGAAAATTTCAGAAAGGACTTAATTTTAAATGAGTTCTTGCTAATTGACCCGTTTTCATATTTGGCACGGGCATATATATATATATATATATATATATATATATATATATATTTATATTATATATATATATATATTATATATATTTATATATATATTTTATATTATATATTTTAAAATACATACATACATAAATAGCTGCAAGGAATCAGTGACTTTGCATTCGCTCTAAGTTCAAACCAAGCATATCCATGTACAATATTAACATAAAACTTCATTAATGTAACTAATATATATTTCATGTTGACTAACCTCAGTGACAGTAGTTGCAGAGAACAAAGACGTGTCATAAACCCACTGTGAGCATGATGTAGTTGTATTGAGAAATACATCTGGCTCACACTGGTCAGTAATGTTTACAAGTGCCCAGACATGACACTGGTCACCCTCTGGGATGGCCCACTCAGTAAACATCTCATTGTAATAAGTACTGTTGTCGTCACAGTTTGGCACCACACATCTGGGTAGAGAAAATCATATATTAATAGAAACATGGCATCAAAATAAACACCGGTGCACTCTACATAAGTAATATTCTCTATCTCATCAAATATGATCTACAAAATTATTGAAAGACAGGTTACTAAACACTGCAAGCATTAAAAGCATACCAAATTATTGTAAGTTTCCTTACGCTTTCCATTATTTTTTAAAACATGATCGCCGTCTCTCAGTGAGGCAGGGTGACCCGAAAAACTTTTTGTTCTCCCACCTCCTGGACTGAAGTCCGGCTAACTGGTTTCCTAACTACTTTAAACAAAATTTTACCCAGCTGACACTTCAACAGCTCATCAAGTCCCAAAAATTATTTTTCAATCACCTCGATCTATTACACACACACAATCCTATTATTTATCCAAGCTCGTAGCACAGAAAACCTAGACCCCCTCCCACCATCCTTTATTAGGACGACCGCGCCTTCTCTTTACCAAAGATTTATGCACCCTACATGTCGCCCTATTTGCTGCATCTACTCTAAATATCTCCGCATTATAAGTACATATTCTGCTACTTTTTTATAAAGGTCATTAATAATATGAGTTGTTTTGCAAATATAAATATGTACCATTTACCAAACTGCGGCAGGCCAGGGTTCAACCACACGACACGTTGTCCAGCCTCAAGAGACATTACAGCGTACATGTCACCTTATCCACTCAGCCATTGATCCTACAAAGATCACGCACCCAGCAGAACTAGGTGTTTTACCGTTATCTGGAGACATACGGTGGTGTGGTTGCCTCTGAGTTATTTCATTTTCCTCCCCGTTTATAGGATTTGGTGGTCCTATATTTTAGAGTGTCATATTGTTCTCGCTCACCATGAGGTGGGCCAAAACAACATGGGTTTGAATCCTTGGCTAGTCGCAGTGTTGTTATTGATCAATACCACTCGTTCGTGGGTACAATAATATGAATCCAGTAAATGAATCCAATTTATATAAGCCAAAAGAAATATTCATATTATTCTCAAAACTGCTTTTTATGAAACACGATTTTATTATTTTTCTGTCGACCATGGAGTTGCTTGATACAACTTTCTCAGCCTTTTGAAAATCATTAGATGGTTACAATCTCTCACATGAATAAATACAGCATTAGAATCTTGTCCAGTTCTAATGCTATATTTATGTTGTTTTACTCTTTATAGCATATTTTACAAGGAATCTTATAGCCACATCCATCAACATTTTCGGGGTAATTTTTTATCAAAAGTTCTTTTACTGTATCAAGATTTTTAAATACAACTTTCACATTAAAAGTCTTAGGAAGAGAAGGCATATCAATCTAGTTTTCATGGTAAGGAAAAACCAACATATTTTAAGTTGAATAAGGTTGGTTGTCCCTTTTTGGATTGTTAAAAGTATTTCTAGCTATTTTAAAAGATTTAAATTACCTTTCTTGGGTATTTCAGATCATTAGCTATTTCATAAATTTTGGATATTTTCTCATCTATGAACTCTGGACTACAAATTCGTAAAGCTCTCAAGAACATTGATGAGAAAACAGACAGTTTCACTCTATCTTGATATGAAGAATAATTTTGTACCTTGGAACAGTTATTTGTAGGTTTTCTGTAAATTTTAAATTTAAAATCGTTGTAACCCTTAATAATTCAAACTTCTAGGAAAGGCAATGAGTTATTTACTTCGAACTCAACAGTAAAGTTTATAGAAAAGGAAATGGTTTATATCTATATTCTTAGGCATAAGACAAAATATCATCAGCATATCTATACCATTTAGCTCTTTTAAGAAGGATTGTGTTAAACAGCCTTGTTTCAAAAAATTCCATGTATAAGTTACTAAGAACAGGTGAAAGAGGATTTCCCATTGCCATACCAAACTTCTGAGTGTAAAACTCACCATTAAATACATTTTTTTTGCATCAACAATACAAAGTTTAATAAGCTGAATGATAGTAGGAACTGGCAATCGTAAATTGTAGTTAAGAAATTCTTCAGATAAGAAACTTAGTAAATCATCAACTGAAACTTTTGTAAACATGGAAGTAACATCAAACTAACCATATTGAAAATATTTAAGTAAGTCAAGGTGCTAAATTTATCCACTAAATCTAAGTTGTTTTTAACATTAAGGTTAGAAATTTTGCCAACAATAGGGCTCAAAATATCAACACGTCATTTGGATAATGTATAAGAAACTGAACCTATGGAGCTAATAATTGGTCTAACTGGATTACCTGATTTGTGTGTTTTTATTAATCTATACATGTAAGGTAAAGATGGATTAGTGGAAGTAAATATTTTAATTAATTCATCTTTGCCTTTCAGTAGAAGTTTTATTGTTTTACTAAAATTGCTGTTAACGGTTTGTAAAGGATTCTTTCTACGTTTAGATTTGGTTTCAGTGTCATCTAGGAGATTTTTCATTTAGTGTCGGTAATTAGGTTCTTTCAAAATTACTATGGTATTTATTTTATCTCCTTTAGCCCTTTCAGGGTCCAAGGCCCAAATCTGGAGTCACGCACCAGTGTCCAAGAATTTAAAAAAAAAAAAAAATTGTTATTTTTTCTTATGAAATCGTAGAGTGAAAAATCTTTTTGTAAAGGAATAAAACAAAAAGAAACGAAATTTGGTGGAAAAAATTGACGAAATTATGCTCTCGCGAATTTTGATGTGTCAGCGATATTTACGAATCTGCGATTTTGCCGACTTTTTGACCCCCAAATTTTACGCCAATTTACATTATTCCAACAACCAAATCTTAGCTATTTCACTAGTATTTCCCTTTTATTCTATCGATTGAGCACAAGAAATCGCCAAGTCACCTGTTTTAACTACAAAATAAAGTGATCGGAAATTGTTAATTTGGGCCCAAATTTTAACAAAGTTCAAAATATTCCAATTTCAAAATAGGGTCCGAATAAACAATGTTTGGCATTCCTGGCACTAAACAACATTTCCTCTGTTCATTAGTTATGTTTTGATTATTTACAAATAATTCATTTGATTTTTATTCACATAATGAATTTTTATTTACACCCCCAAAAATTGAAGATTTACTGTTAAGCAATACTGTAATAATTGTATAAATATCATCACCATATTGTTTAATGTATATTAGACCCCCCAGCTGACGTGTATTTGACGTGTGAGGTCGTTTGTTTACTTTGGAATATCGGCAAAAATTTAACATTTTCCGTACTTTAAGCTCAGTTTCAAGCCATTTCCAGTGCTAAAACCAATCAAAAAAACATCTCTATTTCTGTAATATGTCTTCCATTCTATCAAATGAGACCAAGAAATCGCAAATACAACTATAAAAAACATACGAAAAAAACACTGCAAAGTTGCTGTTTTAATCGAAAAATCATGATTTCAGTTTTTTCTCTCATTATTCACAGTGTGCTGCAGGATCTGTTTTATGTGGTGCACACATACCACATAGATGTATTCTCTCATATCTAGGCCCAAATGTACCACTCACAGTTTATCAGAGTGAGCTGAGCTCATGGCGTAGATCTACGGTTTGGACACTCACCGTAAAGCCGTAGATCTACGGGACGGACCCTGAAAGGGTTAGTAAAGAGCAACTTTTTTATTAAATAATAAATGTATCATAAGACTTAAAGAATTTTGAGGGCAATTGGGAATATTTTGTTTTA